ACCACTAACAGAAAACGTTGGGTTTATATAGTCACTTGAGATCATTAATTAGGCGCGAAAAGTAGTACCTAATACGGTAGGTAACGATCAAAAGTAATGGTCATGGTGGGTCAGTAGATCATTCCGATATCTAACACCTCCCCTTTTTGAACATGGAAACTAAGGTGATCAACTGATATCACGAACATGGTAAGTCTTCTTGTGGGGGTCCACCTGGAGCCGTGATGGAGGACGACGCGTGCGTGTCGATCGTCGTGTGTGGTCCTCGTTTGTCGCTGTTGTCGTGACGTCGCTTGGCGGTATTGAACTTGCTGTAGTCGGCATCGAAGTTGACGATTGCAGGTCGAACATCTCGAACAGTGTTTCCACATCCTTGTCGTTGTGCTGTGGTGGTACATCGTGATGTCGGAGGCGGAGCTGATTGGCATGTCGGACAGATTTTGTCTCCAAGTAGGACTTTGTAGAGTACTCGTCCTACTTCGTTGAAGCACTTTTCCAGTGTGCCATTCCGACTGGTTTCCGCTGTATGTTCGTGCGTATACGAGGATCGCCTTTATTGAAGGAAGGTCTTCGGCTTCATGCTTCTTGTTGAACTGTAGTTGCATTGGAATAGTGCGCGTCTGCCTTTCCTGTGGAGTCGGCTTGAGCAGCGAGAGAGCAGTTCGTAGTTTTGCTTGGAGTCGTTCGATATCCTTGTATATTGCTGGGAGTGCGGCATAAGGTTTCTGACGTTTCGGACGGAACACTTGCTTTACGTCTTCACTCGTGGGAGAGTGTCCATGAGGCTGTAGATTCCCATCTTGGATATCCATTCTGCACCAAGTAAGTTGGGCTGAGTAGGGCCGACATAGTATGCTCCTTGACTTGAAGCTGTATGTGCAGCTGCGTTGACCAATGAATTGGATGCGATCTCCGGAGGCACTGTGAGCGATAAGAGACGGTGGCTGTAGTTTCGGTTTGCCCATGAGCTTCCATGTCGACTCATTGATGATCGTTATGTCCGCGGCACTGTCCACTTGAAAATTGACTGGGTTGCCATCCACCATTATCGTTGCATATCGTCGGTAGTTGCCATCTCTGCTTGACACTGTGAATACTGCATCAGATCGCACGGTAGGCTTCGATGAATATCGGCTGGATCGCAGTGGGCGGTTTCGTCTCCTGGCATCGCAATATCCTTCCTTGTGACCGATCTTGCGGCAGTCGGAGCATTTGTGTCGTCGATAGGTGCAGTTTCGGACGAAATGCATTGCTCCGCATAGCCAGCATGGGGATGGAGGGGGCTTCGGGGATGATGAAGGATGCGGGGATGGAGGGGGCTTCGGGAAAGGTGGGGAGCGGTTCAGTTTTGTCGCGAACTGCCTGAGGGTGTTTGGCCAATTGAAGGTGGTGCTCTGTTCGTCCTGATGGTCCATGTCTGATCGCATGCACTTTTGATGATCCATCTTCGACCACTTGCACTCTTCTGTGAGAGAACTGTGCACTTTGAGTCGGCTTCGATTTTGTCCAGCAGCTTGAGTCGTATGAAGGCGTCGTCGCTCGATTGTAATCCGCTTACGAAGATGAGGCACTTGAACTGGTTGTCGTCGCATTCGGATAGCTTGAACTTGGCGCACTCGCGGTTGACTCGTCCAGCATAGGTGATGAAGTCTTCGCTTGGATCCTTAGCTAGCTTCATGCAGGCGTAGCGACGGCTGAATAGTGACTGTTGTGGTCCAAACAGAATTGGTCAGTGTCGA